TTGTATCATACATAACGTGTTACAAGTTATACTTCTTTGGCGTAACAAGATAAAATCTTTTCAAAAAAAATATTCTACGTTTGTAAAAACGACACTAACAATAGAAAAAACTAAAATGTTAGCTATAGCTAACTTCAGGGTGTCGGTTTTTGTGAACGTGTGCGCGTGCATCGTAAACATTTACTCTCATAATTTTTCCCTCACGCGCCAAAATAAGTATAACTTCAATAGCTGCATATTTTAGGATCTTTTTTTTTTCTTAATTGGACAATTCACACCAATTGACCTAGTCCCATGCTAAGCTGGTGAAGCTTGTGTTATGGGTACTAGGCAACGGATATACATACATATTATATATAGATAGACATATAAATACATATTTAAACACCCAACACCAAATGCTCATCACATCGATGTTTGTCTCAGTCGGGGATCGAACCCGGGACCCATGGATTCGCAGTCAGGGGTACTAACCACTAGACCAATGAGCCGTCCAATGCTAATGAATAACATAATCGAGCTACAGTCGTAACTTTCTTATAGTTTAACTAGCAGACCGGCCAAGCTTTGCTATGGCTAAGGTTTTTGTTATATTACATAGTAGCAAACTATTCAAGGGAAACGGTAGTAGAACACCAGTCATAGGGACCACCATGCTTTTTTGGTAGTTATGCCATTAGACGTTGGTACTTTCAACGCAGCGCCATCTGTTAGAATTGTGACTATCAAATAATAAACAAATATTTTGCAATAAAATAATATTTCGGGTATAAATTGAGATGTAAGCTATCCTATCTTTTAAGTTGCATCAAACTACACACGGTGTGCAAATTTCATTGATATCGGTTCGATAGTTTAGGAGTCCATAGCGGACAAACAACGTCACACGTAATTTATATATATTAAGATATTTGTGAACGAATTAATTCACGTAACTAAACATTATACATAAAAGCTATATACATTCAAAGTCGTAAGGATTTGAATACCGTCTTTCGTGTTAAGAATAACAATGAATCAAAATCTACATAAACACTAGTCTAGCCTATCAGCCTTTGATCTATTGATAACAATCGAGTATTATGTTTGAATACTAAGAATCCATAGCAAAGCAAATAATCAAGGTACGTATAATTATAATTTTTAATCAAGATTACTAGGAAGACAATCATCAAATATATAAATTCTCGTGTCACAATTTTTGTTCCCATACTCCTACGAAACGGCTCGACCGATTTATATGAAATTTTTTATTTATATTCAGTAAGTCTGAGAATCAGCTACTATCTATTATTCAAACCCCTAAGTGATAAGGAGGGTACACCCCTATATTTTTATTTTTTATTTGTTAATTAAAATCTTATAGAGAAAAATTCACAGAGAAACCTAAAACGTTTTCATTCCAAAAAACCGAACATTCTCTGGGGTAGCATAGCTAAATGTTCCATGTTGGTAGTAGAAATGAAGTTCGTGAGGGCAGCTAGTATAATTATAATTTTCGATGAAGATTATACTTATAAAAATATGTTTTAGAGAGGATATACAAGTGTGACAATGACATAAGAACTTAAGACGCTTATCAGATCCATGCAACTTCCTCACAATTAGCCCACAATATCGCAGCACCGCAGCAACTCTTTGTATTGAAGAAGTCGCATGGGTCCGCCAGGCATACGCGTATATAAAATACACGCGCATAATTATGTAGGAATAAAGAAAAAAATAATAGCAAATAATGAACACAGAAAGGTTTCGAACTCGGCGAAAGGTCTCGAGAAAAAAATATCTACGGAGTTATTTTTCATCACAGTTTTATTGTAAATCCAAAATTAGTATGGGTACTTACTGGGTTCATCTGGGGGCACGCCAAGTCTGCGGCAAAAGCGGCACGGTACCACGCTTTTCTCGTAGCAGTTCAGGCCATTTTCGACCCCCTATTACTTCGTTGTGTTGTTGAAGCCTGAATATTCAGTTACCAAGGATTGTTAAAACACGGTATATTTGAACCTTTTCGCAATGTATATATCGCAGCCAACTAGCTTAATAAGCCGTTCAATCAACAGCTTGGCCTTTTAACTAAACAGCGCTGTTTAACTAGCGGCCTGAAAGATATTCAGCCAGTTGATTCAGCTAGGCAGACTTGGATCGATGACGTTTCTTACTTCCCTAGCTTGTTGACTGTTCATTTAAATTTGGTTTCACTTTCTGCCACTCTCAAACTCGAAGCGCAGCTCTTCAAACAGTCAATATGGCGTCGGCAAACCACAACTTTGATGGTGTTTTCCTAAGTTTAATGAAAACAACCAGTACAAGAGTGTGGTAATAACAATAATGTGGAGTTAGCTGTGACTGACTCAAGCAATTTAATTTTTCAACTCTTTTTTATTTCTGCCACTTGATCACTCTTTCGTACGAATGGCCTAAGCATTAGCCAACCAGTTTATTAAATGTTGTTACAAACGCAATGAATATCTTTCAGGCCGCTAGTTAAACGGTGCTATTTATTTAAAAGGCTAGGCTGTTAATTGAACGGCATATTAAGCTAGTTGGCTGCGACATGTATATATTATCTAGTTGATAAAAGGGCCTGGGACTAGTGCTGGACAGGCTATTTCTAATTAATTTGCGATATTTGTTTTAAAATAAGTGTTGTTTGATGATTTGCTATTTTAAAAGAGTACCGAGAGTTTTTTACGCCAGCTTATTCTCTCAGCCTACACCCTCTGTCTTCTTTGCCGATGAGTAGAGATGCCTACAAATTCAAATTTAATGACGTGGAATAAGTGATACATGTATCTTATGATCCATAATAAACATATTTTATTTTATTTTCTTTTTTTAAAAAGATTTGTAATATTGATTTGGCCAGTATAGGATGTTGTTAGGTTAGCTGATTACGTTATAGCTTAAGACGGAAGGTACCTTAAAGGACTGAATATATTGACCGACTTGGTATAACATGGATCTCACAACGTTTTACGATAGAAACACTGCATAGTATATAACTAATTACTTTAGCGGATAAATGCGAAATTAATATTTATACCATTTTTTTGTCACGGTTTTTTTTATTAGGGTTGAAAGGGATAAATATATTTTATAAATTGTATAATGTGCAATGAAGTGCAAGGGCAATGTAACTGTTCCCTAGAGATATATACATAGTTAATATGCATACAATTGTCATACTTAGCACTCATATATATCAAATTACGCTATGGTAAAAATAATAATGATTAAACAAAAAAAAAATTTTTTTATTATTAATACATTATTTTTCTTTTGTTTTTGCGTCTGAGGCGCTAACTAACTATTGTGGTCTCTGGCATGACTCTGGAATGACCAGCGTCAACACCCACGTCTGCTGCACAGCATAATGCTGAGCCCGGGCCAGTTACAACCACAATACACACACATTACACACGTCAAATGTGCCTTTTTCTATAATTTTTTGATATTTTTCTTTATTGATTATTATTATTATTATTTTGTGTGTTTCTGTGGGTGTGTTTTGTTAGCACTAAATGTTATGTCGGTCTGTCTGTAAACCTTAAAAATGGTTAATAACACTGTATTAGAATGATTATGAAACAATATGTTAAATTTAAAAGTTTTAGACGTTAGACAATGTTATGGCTGTAATACATAATAATAGTTATATTTTAGTCTAGACATAAGATTTACTTCCTACACATTTTGTCTTTTGGGTTGTTTGGGTTTTCCTAGTAAAATTGTTTCGACAACAAAAAGCTTTACAAATAAACCAACCCACTGAAGTATTTCCGAACCAATTTACTTAGGGTCCTTCAAGAAAAGAGCGTACCAATTCTTAACTCGCGCCTTTTGGCCCTCTGGCGTTGAGTGTCCATGAGCGGCGCGATCACTTAAGATCAGGGGAGCCCCCTGTCCTGTGACCCCCTGTCCTGAAGCCACAGCTCATCATAGTTTCAAATTAAATCAACAAAAAAGCAAATATATACGTACAAATTAAAAATAAACTTTCCAAATAAAAATATTAACATTTGTTCGTGTAAATCTCAACGCGATTCACGCTTCGCAAAATTTAATATTTTTTACTTACGTTAATTAACCTAGAAGTGTTTAATTAGCAAATTGTTTATGTGACCATTAAAAATTAATATTGAACATTTTATACACTTTTCTTTTACTTTTAAACGGGACAACAATATTGAAAAAAATCTCGTAATATCAAATATTAAAGCGTGCGTTCAGAAATTTATGTTGTGTAAACGAAGAAAATATATGAAGCTACTTAAATATACAACATCAAGGCACATTGTAATGTTGAGTATTGCAATTCGGTGTTAATAAAGAACGTAATATTTATGTATTGTATTACTTTTATAAACTCATATATAAACTGATATATAACACAACATTCATTGACTGTTAGGCGGTAAGAAACTCACAGCGTCAGGTAGTTTATAACAATAGCCTTTAAGCGGATACATTAGGCAAATACATTTATACATCTATCATCTATGTAAAAGTTATCTTATTGGTATTGTGTTTTGGCGAAAGGCCTCCTCCAAGTCCCGCCATTTCTGTCTACTCTGTGGCACTCTCTGCTATGCGCGTCCCGCTGTTTTGTAAAGTGTGTTTAAAAATGTGTTAGAGGTGACATTTAATGACTTTTAATAAAAAATAACCCTACAGTATATATCCCTTAACTCCATTAAATTTAAACACATTTTCCTAATATTTTTCAGAATGTTTTTGTTTCATAGATTTGTATCTATCTTTATTTATAAGGATGATACTTTAGATATTTTTATCTGATATATTATGAACAATTATAAATTTTAAATCCAAGAAGATTAATTGACTGTTTCTTAATGTTAAAAATGGCATCGTTATAAATATGATTTATTGTCTCGTCATTAATTAGGCGGGCTAATTATAAATTCTTCTTTCTTATATTTAAAGGTGTTTAACCTCGGTAGAATACGTTATATTTCCGTATAGAACAGTTCCCCAGTATGTTTATTCAACATGTAAGGAAGGTTTTTGAAACTCACCCTAATTTAAAAAAAACCCACTGCTAAGAACAGTCATATTTTATAACACCGAAATGCATGGTTTTAATTTAGTAACCTTTAGGTAAAATCAAGAAATTGATTCTCGTCAATCCCACGAAATCGCGTCAGTTACGCTTCGGAATTGATCTCGAAAAATGGCACGAGATCCCGAGATTCCGATCCCGCGAGATCGAGATTTTATTCTAATGTATTCTATACGCATTCAAAGAATAGCTAACATTAGATGTGAAAATCAATAAATTATGTATAATTTTCATTTGTTACAGTTCGTGTTTGAGAATGGCACACGCGATGACGGTCTTCTCTCGCGTGAGAAGTTTCTGGAAGTCGGTGCGCGGATGGATTCCAGGCGAGAGTTTCTTAGGAGCGAATGTTCTAGACTTGGTCTGGACGGCTCCAGCCAGAAGGCTTATGCGTGGGAATACCTCATCAACCGCCAGTATCATGTTATATGGTACGTACTTATATACACTTTATTTTATTTATTTATTTACACTTCGTTGCAATTATCCAGAAGTATAGTACAATTTAAATGATTAAATAAAAAGGAGGGCAACTGGCCTTATCTCTTCTAGGCAATCACTGAGAGAAAAAAAATAGATAAGGTGCAAGAAGTGCAAAACTACATAAGACATAATTATAGTTATTTAGATAATGGACCAAAGCAAAGCAATTAAAACATATATAAACAGTGAAAGGGACAATAATAAATAAAAGGTCACATGAATCACTTTATACACAAAGCTGAAGAATTTCTAGTAAATTTCTAATCAAAATTTAAAAAAAATTGAAAAATAGTCCATTTATCGGAGAAGGCTGTCTTGACATTACGTCATCTAGATGAATGTGGGCGAAATCCGGGCCAGCTCGAGTTATGTAACCTAACATTAGTTACGTTACATATACATGATACATATATATTAGTTAATAATTAATATCGTAAACAAAATGTAAACAATATCGTACACTTGAAGCCAATATGAGCCCTTTAGTTTTTACCACACTCATAAATTGTAATTTAACATTCTCGTTTCCAATAACGTCCAGTTACATAATTAGTGTCACTTAGATTTACGAACTCTTCAATCAGTCAAGTTCGTGTTTGTTAATCCAGCGTCGCAATCCCACTAATGTTATCTTAGTTGTAAGCTCATGTTTTGAAATTATTTATGCATATTCAGAAAGTCTGAGAATCGGCTACTATCTATCTTTTAAACCCCTAAGTGATAAGGGCTATCCATCCCAAAAAAAATTTTTTTATTTTTTCGACAATTTTTTTTGTTTTTATATTCTTATGATACATCATACAAAAATACATACAACCCTTAACTTTCACCCCTCTACGATCAACCCCTATTTTCTATTATTGTAGATAGTTGTTCTATTTTATTGTATTGCCTGTTCTTCTCTTCTGTTCTACGCCCTTGATTTAAGGACTGGAGGAAATGTAAAATTAAAAGCATTTAATATATATTTCTTTTTTGTCGTTCATAAGTGTTACCTACATGAATAAATGATTTTAAACTTTTGCCTTTTAACTACGCACACAATAAATGTGATATATATTCATAAAAATTGGTAAATCGGGAACCTTAAGAGATATATTTTGTCAAACTGTATGCAACACACACAAGCGAAGTTGTAATACAAACAAGTTGATTACAAGGACAATCTGTTTAACCTTAACACACACAGTTTAAATTAAGTCCTCGTTTTACGGATGTCTCTCATTAAAGATAAAATAGCCGTTGAATTAAATAGGAAATTATAATAATTAATAGCCATTAACGTGTAATTAAAGTTATAATAATAAAATAAGAATAGCATTTAATGTATATTTCTTTTTTAACGTTCATAAGTGTACATCGTGTTACCTATATAAATAAATGATTTTGACTTTTTTGACATTAATCATTGAGCTCAAGTAATCAAACTCCTCACATTGTTCAAAGCTTACGTCTAAAGGGATTTCTTGCTCCTAATGGTGTTGTCGTCAGGTCGTTCAAGTATTACGTCTCGAAATTTTTGGAGATTATTGACGTAACGCGCCCCATGTAACGCGCCGTAACGTTATTCTGTACCACCTAGTGACTCTTTATACCTAAAAGTTACCATTATGTGGTATAAAGTACTGGAAAGTCGAAAATAATATTAACAATAACGCGTAATTCAATCCCCGCCCCGTATCGTAACGTTTTACAAAAGGACCTCCCCCCCCAAAATTCGTTACGTAGTACTTGAACGCTCTCTCATATACTTTGTGTGTATATATAATACTTGCGTGTTGTAATAAAGAATACTAAATTTGGGTGCAACCTGACACACCCGGGTACTTAACGTAATAAATTTTCCGGCAAATTTCCCCAATGTATTACCATACAGCTATAAAACTTGCGTGCTAGGAAGCGGCTAACATTCGAACGATACGAAAATACGAACGGAGCTTAGTCCGCAGTAGGGATGCTCGATGATCATCGATGTTGAAAGCAAAAACATCGTTTTCTATCGATGTTGCTATACCAAAAATATCGTAACATCGATGTTAACTCACGGCCTCCCGCACGACTAATGCAACTTACGAAACAAATGATGTCTTCTATGAACGCATCCACAAGTCAGGTTTATTAAAATTTTTGACATGTATTCATTCATTCTTTGCGCCCAGGTCGTTCCCTTAATTCGTTCTTCTTAGTCTCGCTCGCCCTTTCTCTCTCACACTTCCTCACTACTCTTTATCAACTAATAAATATATTAAAAGGTTCTTCTTTATCAAAATTACTTTTCATTAAGTCAGTTGATAAAGAACATAGGAATATGTAATTAAATATCGAACCATTTCCACCCGGTATTAAATAACCATTATTTTATTTCTTTGTCAATTATTAATGCAAAAATTGGGGGGTGGGGGTTTTTTTTTTTTTTATCGATCATCCCTATTCCGCAGTATGTGAAAAAACAGCTAACTCAGTAACAATATTTCAAAAAAAATTGTCCGTTTTAATCATGACATTAAGAATATCCAAAATTATTTTTTTTATATTCTTAATACTCCTTTTATGCATATTCAGCGATAGCTTATTGTTAAATTATTTTAATGAAGTGTAAATATATAAAATAATTCACTTACTTATATCAAATCCTCTTTACAGGTGCAACATATTCAAAGCGGCATCAACATCGTGGATGTACAACTTTAATTTAATGGCGAATTACAGCGCGGCATTTCTCAATAGAACGAAAGAGGTTCCCTTAGAACTGGCCAGGAAACGTTACGCGAGGCCAACGGTCGAGATGATTAGAAAGGCCCAGGGGGACTCCATCACGTTTCTCATCGTGAGGCACCCGTTAGAACGATTGGCGTCGGCGTACAACGACAAAATAGTACATGCGTGGCCCAAGTCGTTCCATGACAAAATGGGACGTAGGATCATTAAGAAGTATCGAAAGGTATAATTATTATGTATGTTTTTATTATAACGGTGAATTTGATAATGGTTGTATCACGCTTATACATTATTGTCTGATTTTTCATTACGTAGAATTCTGACATTTCATAAGTGTTGCTACTAACAAAGTTCTGTACCGAAAAAGGGACAAAAATTACCCGTTTCAGGGCAATAAAAAATAAAATGCTACGTATTTTTTATGATTTATTTTCTTTATTTATTAATCTAAATGTTTACTTACTCAACTGATTTAATACAAAAATAACAAATATTTCAAAATCACGAAAAATTTATCGAATTAACTTTAATTACCTACTGTAATATGTAATGTATAGACACAGATGTTCTCGTATTGAAATTGAAAAATATGCCCAGCCAAAATGGTTTGTAATCTCTGACATGTTAAAAAATGATAGCTGTCAGAATTCTACGGAATTCAAAATCAGAGTATAGAGAAATTTTTAAAGCATAAACTAGATTTTTATTGCGTACATTAACATAATCTGTATTGGTATTTTCCTTTTGTTACATTAGTCATATGTAACAGGTAGGCTGAAAAGTTCATAGGCTGACATATAGATGGCGCTACTGGTATTAAATTAATATGATTTTTAGCTAGTGTCTTCAAAAGACAAGTGTTTAAATTTGACAACTGTCGTAATATTGTGAGATAAAGTATTTAGAGTGTTTATAAAAATGGGTAAAAAGGTACTTCGTGTGCATTGCTTTTTGGCGAAAAAAAAACTATTGAACTTTGAAGCCTAAGCTTGATAAACATTATCTATTTAACCTTTTTATATAAGTACATAAAATTATTGTTAAAAAACTTATAACAAGCCCCTCCATATTCGATTGAGCAGACCAGATAGATCTTCTTTATTTAAATAATCATTATTCTCTTTACAATTATAACATTGTAAGCCTGCCAACTAGAATAAATATATTTCATCGGGAAACGAATCCTGAACGGGGCATTGAATAAACAAAAATTTAGATAACTTAGCCAGTCTTATTTCTAATTAATAACAGACGATTTTTTTTTAGTTTTTTTTAAAGTTTTGGATTAATTTGTCGAATCACGGCTCCACCTTAAAACAGCTCCAACTTTTTATTTCTCTTTTATCCCACTCTATCTCCATTTTTATGACTTGTATGTTATACCACAAGTAATATTAAGGAGGCGCATGGCTTTGGACCCCTTAAAGTAACTGATATTGTGTCAGTTCCCAGTGGGTCCCAGTGAATTACATTAGATTAGGTTAGAGCCAAATTGTTTACTTTCTTTTATTCATTTCACAAATCATGTTTTAATTAATTTCTATGGGCTTAAAGAGCATGCGCCACCACATTATTGCATGGTGCACCATTGCCGAGTGATGAAAATATGTAATTAGAAACATTGGAGCTTTTTTAAGGTCCACAAATTTACCAAGTTTTGCTACGTCTAACGTCTAAACAAATCTATTTGAAAGCAAAAATCGTGAATTAAAAAAAAAAAAAAACTTTTCGTAATTTCAGGCATCAGAATCAAAACCAGCCCCAATGGAGAGATATCCGGTATTCGAAGAGTTTGTCTCATACGTTTTGGATGAAACGAAGGCCAAACGAACATTGGATATGCATTGGACGCCCTACACGAGTTTCTGCACTCCATGCAAGTTCAACTTCGACGTAATTCTCAAGTTTGAAACCCTAGATGTATGTTAACTATTCATTTTGTATAGTTTTATGTAGTTCATTTACTGAAAAGCACTCGAAACTGTGAGTTACGGAAGTAATCATAAACAATAAAAAAAAGGATTGTTAAATTCCTATCTGATACCTAATCCGCTGATTTGCTTGTATTTTTTTGCTTTAAGCCAAAAAATAAAGTAATTCTAAAACTGGAAGTGTAATATTTTTGTAATTTAATATTTACTATAATTGTCATATATTTGGAAAAGATTGTAACATATACCGTCAATATTATATACGTTGTGGTGAACTTTAATAAATTAAATAACAAGAACATAAAAACTATTGGCGCTGTAGGTTGCTTTTATTAGATGCTTTTCGATTATTCGTTAGTAGCGTTATAACTTGATCCAATATCGACCACCGACCGTTTTATTGACGCGCTTGCCAAATGTATTTGCTAGTTGCGTATTCCCTTCTACAAATATGGTTGACGTACTGTTGAATCGTTATTATATGGGCCTTTAACAAGCTACATATTTTTGTATACTTTAATTATGTTATTCATACAATCATTTGATATTTGGAAACCATTTGACGTCTTCCGCTGATATCAAAGTGTTCAAAATCCTCCTCCTATAAATCAAAAAGATTTCTGAATGACGGGTTTTCTGATGTTTCACAGATAGAAGTCTGCAACAAATTTTGCCGATGACTTTCTCCTCTCACTTGTACATTTGATGTTCCATATTCTAGAGTAAAGCAGCTAGTTCGCTGCCCACCAACCTGTAATAGACCTTTGCACCCTCAGCTCAGACTATGAGTGCGAGCGAAATTGCAGAAAATGTTTTTCCTCTTCTCATATCAAGCCATACTTGCCAGTCCTACTACTGGTTGGAGGCTGCAAACTGGATGGTTTGTGTATTATCAAAAATCAAACCCATTATATTACGTGCCATTGCAACGAAAAATAAAAAATCTAGGATATGACAATTGTAGAGGCGAGGGCGGCAAAAACTTCACAGCCTTACCTTCAACATTTGTTAAACCGCAACTGACTGTATTCCGGTCATGTCGAACATTTGTGCTGAGTAAAGTTTAAAGACTGCACTTGCGAGCTCTGTGTCAATGTGAGTGTCTATGGGCGGCGGTATCACTTAACATTAGGTGAGCCTCCTGCCCGCTTGCCCCCTGTTACATAAAAAACGAGAATTATTAGATATGAGAGAGTGCGTCTTGATGCACAATAATATTTCCTGCGTCCGGTCTCAATAGAGATTAGGCACCTCGAACCAATCATCGTTTTATAGCTTTCAATTTTATATTGCAGGAGGACCAAAGGTTTTTAATACAAATGTCGCGTCTCCAAGATATTGTTAGGCCTGAGTGGCGGAACAGCGGCAAGGGCACTAACACGCTGCATAATATTAATCATCTTTATTCGAGACTCAGCAAATCGCAGTTGGATGGGCTGTACAATTTATACAGGTAAGTTTTACTATAAGATTATAGATTTATGGTAGGAATAGGATGGCAACAAAAGTAAAAGAAATGGTTTATGCACTAACTTTAAACATTTAAAATTATCTCTATGCTTTATCTATGGTACATGTGCCATGCGTGCGCTACCACAGATAAGAATTGGAAACATTGAAAAAAATAAACCACAGACAGGTCAAGCTCTTTATAAATTCTATATAGTGTTTAAAGTAACAAAAAGAGTGAACCCGCAAATTTTAATATAATAAACAGCACCAGGAGGGTACTTCTGGTGCTGGAGAATTCGTTCCTGGGTGTGCTCACTCAGGCTGTCCCGCGTATTCTGGGGAGGGGGGACAAAATAGAGACCGGTAAGAGAATACTCCTCAAACCGACGGCAAGATCCCAGACATGAAGCATAATTTTTCAAATGTCAAATGTTAATTTTACATAGACTAAAATTGGCAAGTGAAATAATGAAAGTTAGTGATACCCCCGCCGCCACCTGTATGATTTGCTCAAAAACAAAAAGTCTAGTGCATTATATAGATACGTTAAAAGTAGGTACCGTGGGGATGAATTAAAAGCGAATGAAACATTTGAATGACAAATGAAATTACAAGCAATTAAAAATAAGAATTGGCTTTAACGTCACGGGGCCATAAAATCTTTTGAAAAAAAGGGAGGGGGGGCGGTATGTCGAAAAATAAAACAATTTTCGTACGTACTAATTAACCAACCCAATCATGGTTGATTAGTATAAAAAACAATGAAACATGTAAAACTTGTATTGATATTAATTATTGTATTAATTTCTCGTATTGTAATATTATAGAACATATATTTATTGATCAATGAAGTTATATGACGTTTTAATTTTATTTTCAGATTTGATTTCCAGCTCTTCAACTATACAATCCAAAATTATTATGACATAATTCACAGCGAAGGCACCACCTATGGATGAATATGAAACCAAACCAAGGGTCAGTATATTGGCTAAGACTGAAGTGGAGGATCGCTTTGAATCTCGTTAATCTAATTCAAATTTGAAATAACGGGCATACTCGCTTATATTGCAAACGTCATAGACAACTAGACGTCTATAAACAAACGTCAGATTACTTAAAAGTAATTATACTCTGTTATTAGAAATATACTAAAAACCTATATTTCAAGCTGTATTCGTGTTCTGAGTATTCAGACATTAATTTCACTATAATACCTCTGTATAGTTACAAATATTATTTATTTCAACTGTTTTTTGTAAGAATACTTAAATAAGTAGCAAATCCAAAGATTATAAAAACGTAAGTATCGTTTTCCTTCACCTTTGATAGATTTAATTTAAGTTTTTAATAAGCGATACTTAGATACCCTAATTACTAAGGCGAAAATCGTTTTTTAATTATAAAACTAAATCGATCTAAATACACCCTTTTTACTAGAGTAGTCCGTCTCTTTCTGTCAAATTGTGTTTACGCTGTGATGAAAGGAGACAGATACCTACTTTCGTAAAAATTTCTTTGATAAGGGTCTCAATATTCACGATTCATTTAATAAAGCTAAGAATATCTTACAACTACTGTAAGAACTGTAGTACCAAAGCGTTTGCAGCTAATAGATGATGGCAATGATACTCAAAATATTAAAACAAGTAAATTATTACTAGGAGTAATAAATATGGTAAATGTAAGGCATCCATTATTTTCCCCTTGTTTTGACCGATGCCGGGTAAAGGAGAGCAATATTAAATCATATCACCTTGCATTTAAAATATGATACATAAAATATTTAAATGAATGTTACATTGTAAAAGTACAATATATGAAATTTTTTGTAAGAAGACTATCGTATTTCAAAACGTCAAGCCTAAATCTTTATTAAGAAGTGTCAAATCAGTTATTGTCTATGGGATATGGCTATATAAGAGTTGAAAATGTTTTGAAATACGAGTCGGAGTTAGTGCTTTATAAATAAAATAATATATTAATTAGTGTCAATCTCATAAATATTAATTACACGATAGACAATTAAAAAATATATTGTCCTATTTTATTTATGAACAGCTAATAATTAATTTATTATAAATGTTATTAATCTTATTATCTTATATAGCGCACAAAATTAAACGGAATGACATTATTTTTATAAGTTACGGCTTAATTATTGTAAATAAATATACCTGTTTCGAAATAGTCAATTAATCCTCTCAAAATCTTTTTTATCACGAAATAAGGACAGAAAAGTATCAAATTTTAATGGCGTATTCTGCCAATTGTCACCTTTTCTTCTGTCTTAAACGAGCTCGATAGATTGTGAAGATACATTCAATTACATGCCACAGAATATACAAACGTTCGTATTTTATAATGAATTTTGTTACTTTTTACAAATTTGATTGATTTTGGTATAAATTTTCGTAGGAAATAATTCTTACATAGTAGTACTATGTATGTAATAAATAATATTATATTTAACAAAATGTGTCATTGACAACACAGTTTTAGTACTTCAGATGTTGTTTAGAGCTTATCTACCCACCAAACTAGTCTACATTGAACTATTATTACTCTGACAAATCAAATTTCGAGATTAATTGTTATCTAAATAAGTTCTTCCTAAAATGTTTAGATGTAAATTGTCATAGACTTTAGAACAAAAAATTCTTTAACGAATATTTATTGTAACAATAATGTAATATAATGTTTCATGTACTACTTTATTATCACAGAATGTCTCTCAAAGTGAGCTTGTATAAATACATTTTATTTGATATTCACACAACATAGTCTTGAACAAAGTTGGTACAACGCCATCTAGTGACATTATTTAACGAAAATGGCTGTCATTATTAAACTAAAATACTACAATTTTGTAATAGTACCAGTTTTGTTTTTATATTTCAGCCAGTTTTTAATCCTTGTAAATTACAGATAGCCCTTTCTTTCGCATTTATGTATAATAATTCAAGTTACCTTGGAAGTCTTAGATCTAGTTGGAAGGAATAGACCAAAACATGGCCTATGAAGAAACTGGAATGGTGCTATAGTCCTTTAGAATTTGATCTCATATCAGAATGAGACGTGCATATTATGTACTTGTTGCCGCGTTAGCTCCCATTAGGGAAGGTTGTGTTATGTTGATGTTAAATAAGATTTTATTCTTAGTATAGAGAAATAAATAATAATGAATAGTTTGTTTTTTATTTCCTAAAGCGGGCCATAAACGGACCGCATGTTGCAGTCAAGACCGACTGCAACATGCGGTTTGCTCAGGAACTGCTCGAGCGGTCCGTGTATTGCGAATATGAATTTAGTATGGAAACGGGATGCAGATCGCCGTGCGGCGACCGCATGTTGCAGTCGGTCTTGACTGCAACATGCGGTCCGTCTATGGCCCGCTTTAGACTAAACACCTGTCATAAAATTACTTGACAGATGGTGATGAGATGCCAAAATAACTCCAGAGAATCGTATCGGGATACAAAAAATTAAATTAATGTTTAATTTAATTGTAGCAAAAATGCAAAATTTTCACCAGTCCTCTAATCTTATTTAAAAACATCGGAATGATTTTAAAATAAAACACGATATTTTATTAATTATTTATTTACTATTCTAAACTGTATTTTGTATTAAATGAACCGGAAACTGTGGTAAATATGCTCGCTTCTCGGGTATTTGTGTGGTGTTTCTAAAACAATAAAAATTGTATAAACCTTCTATAGCCCGTAGACAATATACGGAGTTTTTCGGGAAAGTACAATATTTGAAAATCAGTTATATATTTGAAAACGTAACAATCTTTTGTAAGTAAAAAACATATATACCTAATCAAAATCCATTTAAAATTTCCCATGACAATATAATGTACACCCGGATTTTAATATATGTATTAGGTATTAAATTTTTCATATATAAATCCTATTACAGGTAAAAAATATACTTACACATTATTTTTCCTCTTTGGTATATCAATAATATCTATAGAATCTGTGGTTATAATGACTGGTCTGACAGATCCAAAAAAGTCTGTGATCGGCACTTTGTTTGGATCCCGCTTAAATAAGTCTCTTCTAACACCAACAGTAGATATGCAAGCATGTTTAGGACAGACAGCCAGCTGAAAAACAAAAAAAATATATTGCAATTTTCTTTTCTTAAAGGGCCAGTAGGTGATCGGCCTTCTGTGCCTGACACACATCAATTTTGGATTTGAGGGATGCTGTTTTGCACAGATGCAATTCGAACACACAACCCAAGGGTCGAGGGGCTCTTGCTTAGGCACAAGGCTAACAATGCTCAAATTTATTCATTTAATTGTATGAGCATACATGTAAATAACAAATAACTTATATGGACTGTTTTTCTAATAAAGTACACTCTTTTATAATAAATAAGAAATATTAATTTTAATTTAAATACCGTAAACCACAAAGCTATACATTTTTTTCTTCTAATGTGAAATTTAAAAAATAATTATTACATATATATGAGAAAGAAACTTACAAATTCTGACATACTCTTCTTGCTGTTAGGATGTACATTCTCCAGGAACTCTAGTACATAATATGTATATCTGTCTATAATATACACACCAATTGCTGAATCCACATGATGCTGTAAAGGTATTATAGATTATACATTAGACTTAAGCATCAGATTTTAGCTATTGAGTGCTTTGCCCTTGTCATTCTAGAGTCACTTTGAAAAAAAAAAATTTAGTGGTAACTAATAAAATGTTATGGATTTCTAAGAAGAGAATGTAATTGTAATAACAAACTAAATGTCTTGAGTGATACAGGTATCATGACTATTTTTTATAAAGTATTATTGGCTCATAAGTCCTTAGTTTTAAAAATATTGTAATTCTACCAAAAAGTAAATATATAAACACATAAACTTACAGAAAGAGAGTCTTCTCCTACTAAACTGCTGGCTGTGGCAAGAATATTTGGTGAATAGAACTTTTCATACATTGAAGAAGCCTGACAGGTGTCTATTATAAAAAATATTTCATTATATCTGAAATACACAATAATATCACTAAAGTTTCATTCAAAAAGTAAGTAAAAAATCACTTTTAATTATGGAAAAAGTTCTAGTAAACTGCATTACTAATCAAAGGGAATGGACAGGATCCACTGATCAAAGTATTGAACAAAACTGACAAATAATATGAAAGAAATTCACAAATTATCTTACCAATTTATTAATAGAAAGATTAAGGGAGTTTCTATAAATATAACTTATTTAACTAGTATACCTTCTTTTCTGCCACATTTGTTCAAGTGCATCAGCTAATTCCTGACTAGTTATCTCTTCTGAATCTTGGAACTTCAGAAAACCATCACCACCATGACCAGTTAAGTATATCAAGATATTGCTACCTTCATCGGTAAGGAGACGCTTGGATCTCGGGGTGTCTGGTGGAACCCTTCCAGTTAGCAATCTCACAAAATTTTCTACAGAAACCTAAAAGTTTTTTTTTGGTAACTGAGGTAAGCAAGAATTATCAGCTTAAAAAATATCCTTTAAAACAGTGAATAAACAGATTATAAGCAAAAATATCTTTCAAATTTGAGAGTTTAATATACAAAAGTTACTGTTTAATACCAATACGGGGCAAACAAGTAACAAAATATGTATCCGAAGTATTGTTTATAAATATCTGTAACATGGGCTCAGTAAATTTGTTCACTTAATTATTTTTACCTCATATCCACGATAGTCAACTTCTACATCATCACCATATACATTGATTTGTTCATGAGCATTATTGAAAATTGTGGCTGGCCGCGGATTTCGAGGGTTGCAGGCCATATCATCTGATATCATGAGTATTATCTGGCTGTCAGGAATTCCTAATCTCTTTACACTCCGGTATATTGATAGTACGTTAGCGACATGCCTGTAGTTGAACCAAAATCGCGATGTGTCTACGAGAACAGCCCAATTATTCGTGTGATTGGACTTCTGAAACTTCTCTGGAATCTAAGGGATTTTTTTTATTAGATAATGGATTCGTAAAATAAATAACTCAGCGGATATTATCTATCAACTTACATCTATTGCTTCACTGTAAATAAGGATAGAAACAATTAACAATGTGCATTGCAGAATATCTTTTGCACACATCATTGAAGATTTTTGTGTAACTCTTTTTAACTGGTGTTATGGTACATAACTTGTAATTTAATGAATGATCTAAACACACTCATAGGATTTAATTATTTAGCTTTAAAACGACTTCGAGCCGATAATTCTCAAATTGAATTTATTTATTGAAAAATAATATAACATCTATGATAATTATTTTAAAAAAATATACGTAAATTGCTTTTGGTGTATTTGGTTATTAGATTTTTTAAACAGACTTGAAATGATAAAAGTCAAACCTAGCGCGTTCTAGAGACTATAAAAGTTTTATTTATTCGACGATTTGTCAATTGTCAATTTTGGAGACGGCTTCCTCAATCCTCGCCCCTTCCTTCAGTCAGTGGCCAGTGCTCCGGGCTCCCCTTGGCAAGCAGATTTGATTTCTTCCGTGTTAGTTTCACGGTCATACAAATAAAAAATATTTTATCCCTAAATTATATTGGAATTTTTAATAGCAAGAACCCTGATCTTATCTCCATAGATAGATAGTATTGCTCTGTGGATTGTGTTCAATTTATTATTTCGTTATATATTTTTTATAAATAAAAACATGAGCAACCGGAATCCAAATACTTTAATGAGTGTACCAGACGATCAGTTTGATTATTTATTTAAAATAGTTCTTATTGGTGACTGCGGAACAGGGAAGACATGTATTGTCCAACGTTTAAAATCCGGAAACTTCATAGAACGGCATGGAAATACAATAGGCGTAGATTTCTCGATGAAAACTTTATTAGTTGATGGAAAGAAGGTCAAGGTAAGAGAAATTCTTCTATTGTTGACAAATATTTCATAAATATATTCCCCTAAAATGATTGAATGTCTAATCCAACTATCTATTTAGATTAAAGATGTCCCTAATAAAATTATACATGGCACATAAAATATTATGAGCAATAGTAGATTTTTTTCTATTTTTACAGAGATTTAATATAGAATATTTTTAGCTGCAGATATGGGATACAGCAGGACAGGAAAGATTTAGGACTATTACTCAGAGTTATTATCGTTCAGCCAATGGAGTTATAATAGGTATGTTACTCCCCCCCCTACAGAATCAATGTAGTTGCAAAAGACACAAGTATACCCCTTTTTTTAAACAAATCTGAAGTGATATTAGATATGTTTTTGATAATATAGAGCTTTTGCATAACTTAGTTGGAATTTCCTCTTACACACCTCTGTTTAAGAGTTTACTGTTATTATGAATAACAATACAAATGTAAACAAAATATGTTATTGTTGAACTGAATTTACAAGACAATTTAATACATTTAACCCTATTAGCACAGTAATGTACTCTGTATTCAAGTATAGTAAAACGTTTCGTGACCACCTTGTGTCTCTTTAGTTACTATTATGTGGTGTAAGTCGAAAATAATATTAACAATAACGCGTAATTCAATCCCCGCCCGCATCGTAACGTTTTACAAAAGGAACCCCCCCCCCCTCCTATTGTTTGTTTCAAAATGTTGGTTCAAACAAATATCAGATTTTTTAAAATTAGTACATAATAAAAATCATACAAGATATTATAACATTTGTCCCATAAGTACAATTTGTACATACTGTGATTATCAATTTTTTTTATATAGTGATGGGGGTGGAACCTCTGCAACTAACTCTGTACATTGATTTATTTTAGTTAATCAAATGGATCATCAACACCCTTTTTTACAGTATTATTTGCTCGATTCAATTAATTACTAAGTCAATGATTCCCAGACTTATGAATTGTAATATATATTTCAGTGTATGACATAACAAAGAGATCAACATTTTTGTCTCTAAAGAAATGGATTGAAGAAGTTAGAAGGTATACATCATCAAATGTCATAGTCTCTTTAATTGGAAATAAGTGTGATCTGGCAGATCAACGTGAGGTTGAAGCTGAAGAGCCTAAGTCTTTTTGCCGTTATGTTCCAGAGATTATGTTTGTTATGGAGACCTCTGCTAAAGACAATACTAATGTTGAAGACACTTTCCGAAGCTTAGCCACAGAATTAAAGGTAATTAATTCATTAGTATAATTTCAAGATTACATTTTAAATATCAATTTCATTTTTAATCATCCTGAAACTTGTTCTTCAATATGTCCTCTAACACTTATTTTATGAAAAGAATAATATATATATGTATGTATAGAGGTATGATATTTTTTATTTACAGTATAAGCTAAATGTGGTGTTTAATCATTAATAATAAATACTATACTAATTAACAATTATTTCAAGTATGTCTCAGAACCTTTAATTAAACTAAATTATTAAGTAACTCTTAATCTAATGAATTATGATATGTCCTAGTAGACATGTACCTCTAAAAAGATTTTTACAATCTTTCTTTGATTTATGTCAAAACTTTACAATTAAATAGTATTTAATGGATGTAAATTATTTATATTATTGGTTTTTTCATTTTGCCTGTCAAGACGGTGCAGACTATGGTCATGGCCACAGACAAAAATAATCAAAATGTTTTATATAAATAATACCTCTTTAGTAATACCTCTATAATATCTATTTATAAGTTTGTCATGACATGGTGATACAATCAAATTTATTGCCTTGATAAACAGACAGGAAATATTAAGATAAAACTTGACATTTTCAGCGTCAACATGATAGCAGCGAAGGCCCACCCGCTGACACTGATGCTGTTGTACTCGGAGAAAGTCATTCTGTGAGTCGGTGTCAACCTTGCCGTTCTTAGTTAATATTTGTATATATGAACAATATTTAAACTGTGTTAATTTCTATGTCTAAGTATTTCAAACCGTTATAGGTTTGATATTGAAATTGTTAACTGGACAATTTTATTAGTTATATTAAAACTGTATCCCATGTCGAAGACACCTGTCACCTGATGTTATATAGCCGTGCTCTATGGACTATCCAACGTTAAATAATTCTTAATCAAACCAGTAGGTAGTTCCCGAGATTAGTATGAACAAAATCTTTTGTTTTTTATTTCTTAATTATAAATTAATCTTGGCTATGAAGATCTGTTAATTTGTCACAAATACATGCCAAATTTATATAAGATAAAGTTGTAAAGTTCTAGTATTAGTGGCATATTAGTATTAGTTGCTTTTAGTTTGACCTGAGAAGCCATTTTAATCTAATTATTAACCAAAAACAGATTAGGTAAATTCGAAATTCACGTTAATTAAATCAAATCATGGTTAACTGTCACAGTTTTGTCTTTCACTTTAATTTACCAAAAATGACGTCCGTAAAATGTTTTTTTTTAATTTGAACTTTGCATTATTCTTGCCGAATTTTTCTTCATAGCGCATGAATGACCACAGGCTTTGCTGTTATGCCCTGTTCAAATATAAGGTTAAAATAACCTTCTTTTATAAAAGAAATGATATAATGTACAGATTAATAATCATATTAAAACCAAAAAAAAAACATGTTTGACCTACTTTAAAATGTTTATTAATTTTTCTATACTAATATAGACGAATTTTTTGTTTGTTAATACATAAAATAAAAACATTTTTTTACATTTATGGTTACATGATCCCTGAGTTATACATGCTATATTTTCGCCCTAATTTTAACAAGTTCTGCCTCATAGACAATGTTTATTAACGAAGATTCTATTTTTTTTATCATATATATTACAGTCATTTGGTGGTTTTACCTGAAAGTTTTCCAGGAGTTTTGAAAATTAGTAATTTTACACATATAGATTTTGTTGTGCTCTTTGTAACTTTTCTTCATTTTGTCACCTCGCATTTCGCGCGCGCCGCCATATTGGAAAAATGGCGCCTCAAGTTATTTGTCAATATCACCTATCAGACTCGATTTACGATACAAACAATTATTTACAAATTAAACCCTACTATTTATGTATTATTTAATCGAGAATGATCCCATCAAAATCTGTTAACTTACCAAATCTCCCGGAAAACTTTTACGAAAGTATTATTTTTCGAACCAAATGAATGTATTATTATTAGACTTTTAATATAAAGTTGCCATGATATTAATTTAATCTATGGTGGTATATCATAATAATTTTATTGTATTACATCATATTATTTTCTAAACTATTTTTAAATATCGAATGTTATCAAAGTATGTAGATATTTTTACTCTTAAAGGAAATGAAACAAAGCTGTGTCTTGCTTTATATAATTATTTGGTGCACAATATTGTGTTCTGCTTCATTCTTGTATTTCTGTCACAATATTTTATTACATCCGCAACTTAGCAAATTAGTATTAGCAAGCTTACCACGCAATAAAAAAAATAACGATTTCAGTACGATATGGAACATCCTTATAGAACTCTAATGACTTCACCTAACAATAGCAAATTTCGATCCTTCAATATTTGAAATGATGTAGTTCCAAAAATTAAGGTTGGAATTACGCGGTAAGCTTGCTAGCTACCTAACTAAACCACCTAGTCGAGACTGAGATACGCCATATTAACTTATATAAATTGTATATTTTTAAAGTGTCTACAAATAATAATAACATACATAAACGTGTCGCTAATCTCATTAAAAAACTTAGTTTAGGTTAAATTATAATTTTTACTTTGTATTAGTGCTATGGTTTTAATCTGTGTATGATAACTAATGTTATAAACGAAATTTAAGAGTCTGGGTATCGCCGTCGAAGCGGCACTGCTTGATCAAAAATTAAAAAAAAATCACAAGGAAATATATCAAGAGCAACTATAACATTGTGGATTTTTTATGGACTCTAAATAGCGTAAATCGCTTCAACTATAAAAGAGAAGCGCCTTAATAGCTTTTTTTATTGTAATTCTTACAATCCATGTACTATATTTTTAATTTTAAATTTGGAAAGCATAACAAATAAGCATTCTTCGGGTTCATTTTTTTTATCCGCTTTCTGGCCAGGCTTAAGTCATAAGACAAACTAATACAGCGCTAAATGCAATGTTTGAAGCGCTTTTCAATTTGTTGCTATTGTCTTAACACAAAGCGTTAAAAATCGATTATAAAATACTCGCTTAAGACGATGTCATAGGGACTAAAAAATCACATAGCTAAACAAGAAAGCGAAAGGATTTAAATGATCGGTTTAAGCGGTATTAAATATTTCAACGTAATGTGGAACAGTTTTTTCTCATAATAAGAAATAATCTGTGATTAGTTGAATCTTTGTGATATTTTTATTTACTTTAAGTAAAACAACTCATGGTTTTAATAATTTAATGATTCTATTTTCTTTAACAATATATACAGTTGAACTTGTAATTTATTTTATATCCTTAAATCCTTTTTGACACATTTACCCAAGGGTAAATTTCAGAAACGAGACTGGCCTAAGTCATTGTTAAAAAATCTTGTATTTTAACGTATGGGACGTAGTTCGTGCTAAATCTAGTTGCCGTTACTCTAAGTATTTTTAGTGGGTAGAGGGTACATACATATCGTATGGGTAGAGGGTCAATTTTCGGGGAAACTACGAAACAGAAGCACATCAACTATATATGAGCCCACCGTTCAAAGTTTAACCAAACAATTTAAATCTAATGGACGCTATTTAATCTTTTGGTTAAAAGAAGTTAACGCAGTGATTTTTAGTATCGCTAACAATCACATCTAATTGTTTGGTAACATGTATACCCGAAATCCAACTAAATTTACCCGGCTCGGAGCCAAGTCGCCCGAAAACCCTAACCAACTGCCCATTTGGCTTAAAAATTTGAACCCTGCAGTTGCCCGAATCGCCCACTAGGATATACCCCATTGGGTCGACAGCTAGAACTTCTGGCTGTCGGAATTGACCCTTCCTTTGACCCATTGACCCGAATTCGACGATTTTGCTCTTATCGTGTTTGTTGTAGATTTTGACCCGTCGATTGCCACTGTCCAGCACGATAACCCGGTCGTTTGTGACCGCTACCGCTGTTGGAGCGTTGAATTCCGTGCACATTGTCTCTTTCATCTCCCAAATGCTGGATGTGTTTTTAGGTTGGGATCGAACGCCGACTCCGTATTGGTCCACGCATTTACCGTTTGGTTCTAGGACCTAAAACAAAATAAAATGTGTTAATTAAACGTAAACAAAGTGTTAGTATAGTGTTCGGCAAGGGTCAGAGACAAAAGTCTGTCAAAATCTTATCAAAACATTTCAGATTGTCTCAGTCGAAGAGCCAAATTTTAGCGCTAAATATGAAAAAACACAAATAGATCTGATACGTCAAAAACGTATTGAATTCATAGATCGCGCCAAGTATAGACACTGAATCACGCTCTTTGTTAGTACATAAACTTGTCTCTGAATTGACATTGATAGAAATAAACAAACTAAAGAATAAAAAAGACCGAAAAATGGAATAGTGAATGCAGTGATCTGTGAGTATATTTTGAACTAAACGGAGGAACGTTCAAAATCAAATATAATTTGATTAAGAACCCGAATAGTACAGAAGAACGATGCGTTTGAGCTGTCAAAAACATTGGATTCTCATCTGATCAATCTATATTCTACTATATTCTTATGACTTTAGTTGGAGAGTCTTCAATATATTTAATGAATATAATAATAATATTCTTTTTACCTGAACCCTATCATTCCCAGTGTCTACGACGTAAATATGATGGTTTGCGTTATCTGTAGCGATGCCTTCGGGAGAGCGGAACATACCAACGCGACTTCCTTTTTGTCCTATAGATGTTATATATTCCCCGTCCTTCGAAAACACGTGGATACAGTGCTTCCATTTGTCTAAAAATATTAGAAAAAAATATATAGGATTTAGACCTAAAATGTGTCCAAGCAGCCAACCATTTATCTATCTGACATATTGACTGATGAATGGAGACTTCTGTGCTTGGAGATATTTACGATACGCCGAGAATTCCACAATATTCTTTTTTCAGTGTTATTGGCACAAATAGTAAAATAATTGGCTCTCATCCCTGTGGTCGTAGGTTTGATCCCCGGCTGTGCACCAATGTACTTTCTATGTGCACATTCAACATTCGGTCGAAAGTGAATGAAAACATCGTGAGGAAACCGGCTTGCCTTAGACCTAAAAAGTCAACGGCATGTCACGCACAGGAGACTGATCACCTACTTGCCTATAAGACAAATGATCAAGAAACAGATTTAGAAATCTGAGGGCCACACCTAAGAATAGTTGTAGCGCCTTTGATTTATTATTTTTTTTATTTTAAAAATAACAATTCGTGGCAACGTTCATGCGTTTAAGGTTGTACCCTGCTTTCGTAAAGGAATCGAGTGTAAAGTAGGTTTAAAATGATGATAACCTGTAATATAAACTTCGCCCAAACTCTTCATAAAGGCAATTTGGACTGGACACAGCATTTGCTCACAGGATAATCGCATTACAATTTTGGCCTGTGTCCGCTCGACAACTATTACACTGTGACTGTCCATGTCACATATGTATAGATGGTTGTTCCAAGGACTGAGGCCGACACCACACGGCCGTGCTGTCTTACGCCACATATAATGGGGCACAAAGTTCCTGGACCTGGTGAAAGACGGGTGAGAATGTAGAACAAAACGATTGTATGCTCCGTTTAATTGTAATAGCATCTTTAGACCAATACGCGTTTACGGCATGATATGTCATATTACGACCCATTGACCAATCACAATCGAACGCAATGTTTCGTCTTGCGTTTTATTACCAATCCTTGTATCTGGCAACATGTAAATTTGCTTATTGTAGATTGTCTTTGATCAAATTTATACTCTATTCCGACTAAAGGACTTGTAGCCATGGCAGAATTAAAAAAAAAGTAGATCAGTAATTACCATTGAGCCGCGGTTCCATTATGCAAATGACTTGCATACAAATTACAAGTTGCATGCAAATTGTAAAGTGGAAACAACAACTTGTAAACAAGTTGCAACTTACATGCAATAAGATTCAAACTTGTACGCACAACATTCAAGTCAGCTCATTTGCAAGCAAGTTGCAAGCGCAAGCGCATGCGCTCGTCTATAGACTTAGGTGTGCAGATTACCTTGTAAAAATAAATGCTAAGTGGGATACAGAGAATACAATAATATTTATATTTTATTGAAGTTATACTTCTTTTGGCGCGTTAGGGAAAAATGATGAGAAGTAAACTAAACTAGGAGAACTAACTTGGATACTACTAAAAACTTGTATGCAAGCTGCAAGTTGAACAAAAGCGTGTTTCCAATTCAAATCGCGCACAAGTGTGACGTCTTACATGCATGCAAATGTCTTTATCAATAATAAAAGAAAATATAATATTAAAGTACCTAATGAAAAAAAATTAAACCGACGTCAATACCATTTGATTTGATTCTCCAGAAATTCATAGAACTTTCAACTACTGAAGCGATTTTAAATCAAAGTATGCATATGATTTTTAGTTTCCGTAAAATTATTAAGTTTGCACGAATAAAATGATTATATTATCATATTCAAACTATATCACATACATATATATCGGAGGTGTATTAATTTTGCATTATTAACATTAAATTTTCACGCAATTGTAGCTTCCCGCGCAAAACAAAAACTGACATTTGACAACTTTGACTAAAACAACATTCTATCCATAGATGTACAAATTTACCTTGAATTAAATTAAGAGAAAATTAACATACTTATAATGCAGCATGAGGCTAGTTTCGTTCTCCAAAGGGTTATTCTGTTTACCCGCTTCTGGCAAAGGATCGTCTGATTCCGCATCGCAAGGCGTAGATACATCGGATTCGATTCTGAAATTTTCTTTATCGAACATGAAGTTCTCAGCATCCCATTTCGAGACATCCGACAGCAATTGTAGAGTGTTTTGGTGGAGATGTACAAAAGTTTTGACCTGTTAAAAATTACACATAAACGAAATTTTTCTAACTATATTTTTAATTCAAATGTCCGTGAATGCCGACACCCTTTTGTTTTTTATTTCATTCTACCTTAAGTGAATGAAGCAATTCTGAGTTTTGAGTATTGTATTTCAGTAGACCTGCATCTGGCTTATTAGTAAGTTACTTAAGCAAAAGTTACTTCATGTGGCCACAGCTACCTGATCTTGATTTGAGAACTGGGAGTAAATGTAAAATTAGAAACAATAAATTAATGTATATTTCATTTTTGACGTTCAGTGTAGGTACATTGTGTTACCTTCATGAATAAATGATTTTTGACTTTTGACTACCACTAAACTCCTGAAAAGGGCACACATGATTAGCTGATTCTCCATGGAGTGAACTGACAAAAGTTCTATTATTAATTAGTGCCTATTAGTTGTTACTTAATTTTTTGTATTTCTTTCAGTATGTAATTTTGTTTTTCCTTATTTATTTTTTAAATTTGTTCTCTTACAAAAATTTTCATTGGTCACCTGTTATATATAAAATAGATTATTTTTATTTTGTCAATAAATAGCGTATCACGACTTAAATTTGTAGTTTACGTGCCACGCGATCCCAAAGTTTCGCGATTGACTGATTTATTGAGTACAAAATTCGCTATTATTATCGGAAGATATAGAGTGCCTGTATGGGGGGAAGTAAAAAAGCAAAAATTCCTTTCCTTGACAATAATTAATTATTTTTTTATCTAAATAATCTTATAAAATCTCTATTTATTCTTAGTGTTTTAACAGCACAGATTACCAAAAGATTAATTTCCATAGATTAGCTCAAGAAAAGAAAGTTACCTTGTTAATATCATCTGTGTTCTCAAACGCTTTATTAGCAACTTGCTTTGCCTCGTTCAACGAAGACTGCAAAGCCAAGGCAGACATGTCACTCGATTTCTGCAAACCTGTCAACTCTTCTTGAAGACCAAGTTTCGCTTCCAAAATGACGTTTATCTTCTCCTCCGCAGCCAGGTTTATTTGTTCAGCGATGTGTTCGCAGCGATCCTATAAGGAGAACGTTTCACTAACTTAAACTGAACCTTAACTTCTAGTAGGTATACCGGTGACGTTTATACGTGTTCCTATAAGAAACAGATTCACGACAATCTTCTTCTATTTTTACATATATTTCTTTAAACCTGACAGTGCTAGTATGTAGTATGTATATAGAAGTACCAACATATGATCTAGTATTTTATTCCCAACGACGTAATAGTTTCGTATTGATATAGCAAAAGTTTGACCACCAACTCGCCATGAAAAGAAAAAAAGAATTTTTTTGTTTCTGTAAATTGTTTCGTAATAAAAAATTAAATAGATATTTAATTTAAATTTCTTCAAGTGTGCCATAATTGCTTACATTTGGTTTGCGTTTCTTATTATTAACTAAAATATATATGTGTAACTGAACTAATCTTAGGTTACATAAAATTTTTCAACCATTAAAATCATCATACATATTACTAAATACAATTTAGTGTCAATTTACCTTAAAATGTTCGATTTTGTGGGTCAATCGACTTTCTGCCGTTTCGAGCTGTTTCAATATGGATCCCACTTGAATTCGTAAATCCTCTAAATGTTGTGACCAACATACAAAACAGAAATTCTGAAAAGAAAAAACAAAATTATAACGGTATATAGGAACACAGTTGCATTTCAGATTTTTGTTAATCGTTAAATAATTAACAAGTGGGGATTAAAAGAAGTCTGTTTCATGTTTATTTGTTAATAGGCAACTAGGTGATCAGCCTTCTGTGCCTGACACAGACACCGCCGACTTTTTGGGGCTAATGCAAGCCGGTTTCCTCACGATGTTTTCCTTTACGGTTCGAGCGAATTAAACGCACATAGATAGAAAGTCCATCGGTGCAAATCCGGCGGTCGAACGTGACCACAGGGATGAGAGTCACACGCTGAAGCCACTAGGCCAACATTGATCTCAATAGTATTATAATCAGAAATCGTGGAACTTCCAGATTAAGATTAATAATTGTTTTATTATGGTGAATTAAGAAAGGACAAAAGCACTATCTACATAAAGTCTTGCGGGGGATGGTGAGCAACCCAAGTGTTCTCCGAGTACTCGGTTTCTTTGTACCTAAGGGATATGTGCGAGGGCCAAAGCCAAGGCTGTTTGCGTCACATCTTATATATTTAATATTATACTGTATGTACGGTTTAGTACTGCAAGGATAGTGTATGTATTTCTTGTGAATAAAAATTTACTAAAAGTAAACGGGGCTTACATGTTTCGTATTTCTAAAGTGCAAAACTTAAACATTTTTTCCTTTATTTTCCAGGGTATCGAACTAAATAATAGGCACGGTGGTGTAATATATTAAAAATATCTATTTGTAACTGGATTTTTAAGATTTATATCTGTAATTCTCTTGTTTGAATCACTAACTTATTTCACAAAAAAATTAATTAATATATAATAATAAAAACAAAAAATGCTATTGCATTCTACTATAGTAAAGAAACCAGTGGCGCTGGGTTGGTTTGGTTTTGTCCACCCTTCTGTATCTGCGCTCGACCTCTGTAACTTCCACAGCGACAACAATACTGATTCCGACGTTATTGTATGCAATTGCGAAGTAATTCACTCAATATTCATACTGATCTCACAACATTGGGATCGCGCGGAACAAACTCGTTATTGAGATCGGAATTGCTGTCGATTTTGGAAGTTACAAAGCTCTTGTGATTACTTTCTTAATAGACAAGTAGGTAAGCCTTCTGTGCCTGACGCTCAGCGTAGATTTTTGTAGCATGGCTTCCTCGCGATGTGAAAAAAAGCAACTCTTTTGGTGGGTGCCCAGCCCTCATCTGACCCCTTAACCCACGCTTAAGCATATAAACACAGTTCTACTTAGCATTTATAATATAGTATTCGCGCTGACCACAGACAATTTTATAAGCTTTTAAAAATTTCACAGATTATATATACATACGCACCAACTTGCAATGTTCACAGAATGACGTATCCGAATTATCGCAGACGGTTTTGCAACTAGTGCATCTGATTCCTGCTGCGAACAGGTCGACATTTTGGTATCCAGATGAGCTTGCTGGAGTAGTTGGAGGTGTCGCACTGGACGGCTTATCGGTCTTTATACCCACCATTTGCAATAAGGTATCAATGTATAGGTTCGAAGGGAGACTTTCAATGAAATTGGGGAGTAGTCTGAATTCTAGTATGACAGAGGGGGCAGCTGACGACGGCGAGATCTGAAACAAATTTTGCGTATTATTAGTGTGGTATTCCTTCTTTATTCCGTGTACTTTTTTATTAGAAGAAAAAACAGAAAATTCGTATCCTATATTATATATATCACACAGTGAACGTCAAAATTATGCTTTTAGGTACTTGATACAATATTTAAATTGCAACTATGAGAGACTAACATCATTACTTTAAGAAATTGTTATAAATTATAACACAATAATAGTAACGAGTTAGCATTAGATTGCAAATTGAAGAAGTTTGTATCACCAAAGAGTTTCCAACATTTTCTAGGCGACAATAATCTGTGGCTAAATTTATTTATGGCGCCATATTTTTTATACATTGGTACATCATGTAAGAAGATTGACCAACGTTTAAGTTACATAATATGTATACGTTATTTTATTTTACTTTTATTTGTCCTTTAACTTGTAAAACGGAAGCAATAATAATAAAATAATAATCATTTTAGTTAAGCGAAATTTATCCATGACATTCATTATCGATTTATAATAAAAGATATTGCTTTATTGTTATCGTTAAATTACTTCCTTTCGACCACAGTTTTAGATTATGTTTTGACTTGTTAGTTTTAAGTACCTAATACACAAAAATAACTAAATTAAAAATAGCCAAAACGAAAACAATTTTACCTATTAAGTGAATTGTCCATGTTTTGTATTTATAGAACAGGGGGCAAACGGGCAGGAGGCTTACCTGATGTTAAGTGACACCGCCGCCCATGGCCACTCAATGTCAGAGGACTCGCGAGTGCGTTGCCGGCCTTTTAAGAATTGGTACACTCTTTTCTTGAAGTACCCTTAGTCGAATTGGTCTTAGTAATTTTGTGTAGTCTACTTCCTACTTGATAATTTATATTCGACTTAAGATTCTGAGTCGACTTAGCGCTTAGCATGACTCTCCTTGACAGACAGGAGTCGTAATTAAGTAAAGATTACAGTTTCATCATCGGACGTCAGAATATGTTATTTCACCCGTATCACCTCGACGTCCGTCGTTCCACAACTGAGCGTTTTTTAAGGCAGTTTTTGTTGCGCACCACCACTATGTTGAACCAGCTGCCTACTGTCCACAGACTTACGGTCCTCCAGGCCGCTTGCCCCCTGTTTATTAAAAATAAATATCACTGCTTACCGGCTACATAGACTTTGAGGCAGGCTAAGCAGAAAGTATGTTGGCAGGGTAACATTTTTGGCGTGTTCAGCAGTTCCAGGCAGAGTGCACATTGTACTAGATCGTTTATTCCATTAGCTGGAAGTCTGGAAATATATTTATTTATTTATTTATTAAGGAAACTAAACAGATACATCTCTATACAGTAAAAATAAAATAAAAGTAAAACATAAAATAAACACATTGGACATATCCACAAAAAGTTAAAATTGTAAGGTTTTGCTGACTTTTTGCAAAGTTTATAAATTAGGAGAACGACAAACAAACTAGCAGCTATATAAAAAAAACAAGGCTTAAGACATTAAGAGTTTGATGAAGCAGTAGAGGAGTGCGAAAAAGGGTTAATGTTAGTGGCAGAATCCAAGGCAGAACACAACCTGTGAAGAGGCTCACGGAACCCAATGTTGGTTCTGGGAGTCGGAAGGTTAAAAGTTCTGTGCGAGCGCAGAGATCTGGCAGGAACATTGAATGGTATCAGTTCGAGAAGATGGGAACAAGTTATTTCATGTACGCATATTTTTCTAATAGTGACACAGTCTCTCAAATTACGGCTAGTACTCAATAAAAGTAATTTTTTTTTAAAGTTCCTTATATTTAGCCCTACCACCATTCATACGATAATTTAGAATACGTAAAAGTTTCTAAAACGTAATATAGAATCGAATCATAAAATAACTTCTAGAACTCCTATTTATTTTATGCTTCTAGATAATGACGCATTTTTATTTTAATAATATCAGAATATATAATAATATGGTGTCATAATAATAAATCGTACACGTCATGAATTTTAACAACATTGATTCAATGTAATAAAACGCGCGAAAACAGATTGATATAAAGCCAGACACGAATTTATTTGTTGTTGATTTTCATTTGTTTTATCTTCGCAATTTAAATAAATCTCTTTACTCTATATATCTGAATAAGTCTGTGTCACTCGTTGACAGTTTTCAATGTTTAAAAAAGGAATTATTATCAGTAAGACCAGGACAGTTCTAATGTATATGCAACAGTTATTTGTTGTTGATTTTCATTTTTTTATCTTCGTACTTTAAATAAACCTCTTTACTTTATATACTTGAATAAGTCTGTGCCACTCGTTGACAAATTTCAATGTTTAAAAAAGGAATTATTATCAGTAAGACCAGGACATTTCTAAAGTATATGCAACAGTTATTTGTTGTTGATTTTCATTTGTTTTATCTTCGTAATTTATATAAATCTCTTTACTTTATATATCTGAACAAGTCTGTGTCTCTCGTTGACAGTTTTCAATGTTGACAATTAAAAAAGGAATTATTATCAGTAAGACCAGGACAGTTCCAAAGTATATACAAAAGTTATTTAAAATTATTTTTTGTTGATTTTCATTTTTTTTATCTTCGTAACTTAAATAAATCTCTGTACTCTATTTAAACAAACAATTATAGCATTACAGTCAGTTCATTCACAAACCGTGTCAGAGCCATAAGGAAAAAAAAAAAGTCAGTGTCACTCGTTGACCATGACAGTTTAAAATATTTAAAAAAGGAATTATTATCAGTAAGACTGTTCTTAAGTATCTAAAAGCGTACACTATCTTGAAGTATTGTTACATTATGTTAGTGTACCACATAAATAAAAGTATTTAGTTACTGGGCATGTCGTTACAGCCTATTATGTATTCGATTCGCGACGTTTTGCGAATGTTAACTAAGTGAAATGCATTTTTAAAGGCTCTTGGCAAATGCATGGAGATTTTCGCGTAATGTAAGCGCCGTTTCTTTATGACTTTCCCTGTTAATTTTTTATTCCATTGTATTCGTTGTGAATTACTTGGCAAACTTATCAGGGCTGTTTTATTAGATTGATTTATTGTTGTATAATTTCTTTATTTAAAAACGTTTAAACAATTCCGACGGCGAATTGTATCTTATTATGGCCATACAATGCGCAGGCGATGAGAATTTGGAGAAACTCGTCGTGGTTGGTAACACAGAAAGAAAAAGATCACGTGATCGGTCCACCTGGTCGGTGAACGGCCGGGTGAAAAGAGTCATCGTCCTCGACTTTACTTCCATAAGAGAGGGCTGGACAGAAACCGGTGGAAACAGATAGACCGCTCCAAATGTTTCTTGGAAAATAGTAAAAAAAATATAACTAGAACACATTTTACATAAGAATAATCTATAATAGTTTTCACGGTTGTGCATTGCTGTTTTCTATAATTCTATAATCTATAATTACCCGTTATTGCTAAAAAAAATGTATATATTAATATTGTATTATTTTTTTAATAATACAAATACACAAAATTATTTTTAGCACCTGTAACACAATAGTATAAGTTTGTCATAGCGCTGTGACGAAATAAATATTTTTCTCAGTAAAAGATGGCAACCCTCAGTCGTATCTAATTGGGAAAATGACCATAATCATTGATGTATTTAGTTTAAACACAAGAGTTTTTATCTATCGAAATTTGCAACGCTTTTGAACTATATCAGAAGTTATATTGTTTTAGGACATTTTAAATAAACTTTTGCTCTTCAAAGACCGAGCTATAGAACTTATTAATTATAACTACCATAGATATTCATATGATTGACTATAGTATTGATTAAAAAATGACAATTAGATTTTATATAAACAGTGTGGGTTTTTGATTTAATCTAGACAACATAATGACATGGACAAAAAACTAAAGGGAATAGCTTAGGTGCACATTTAGTACAAAAGGATGATGATGACCTTATCGCTGAGAACGGCAAAGGGACAAGTTTAAAATTCAAAATTCATTTATTCATATAGGTAACAAAATGTACACTTATGAACGTCAAAAAATAAATGTATATGTATATTCTAATTTTACATTTAATGCCAGTTCTCAAACCAAGGGCGTAGAACGGTAGAGAAGAACTGGCAATAAATTTCTCCGCCACTCTTTAATCGCCAAGTCTTTTGTTTGGACACAATGATTAGCATGGAGTTGCAACCATTACACCATGTTCCATCGTTTTTTTTTTTTTTGACATCTTAAGCAAAGATTTGTCCTCTATCAGCAGGAGGCATGGTAGAACTCAGGAGCATTTCACACTAACATCCCGTGTAACAATACGCCTATAGATAGTCGAAATAACTAACATCACCGCATACACGAATTTAAGTACGACCAGTCACCACAAGTAGCACCCGTTCACAAGTATGACGCATGGCCAGCTATCGGCCCCATCGGCCCTGTACCCAAATTTAAAGTACCCATACCCGACGAGCATGAATATCATGAAAGTGGATGAAGCCAGAGATATATCAGGACAAGCAATTGGAGGTCCGAGGTCTCTGCCTACCAAAACGGGAAAAAGGGGTGATAATATAATAAAACATTTTCTATCACTCAACTTGACTTAATTATATTCATAAATTCTGAGGGTAGATTCACGAGATTTAGCGCTAAGATTGACGACAGTTATACTTCCCTCTAAGTTTCGTTTTTACCCTCTCTTTCCTATCTTACCCTCAGACTCAGAGTTAATACTCAGCGCTAACTCGACTTAAAACCATTTATCTTAATCTGCTACGATTCTGACACCTTGACGTCTTGAACGCCTTATGAAAAACATTCAATATTGTTTTCCTTCTAAAGAGTTAATGTTGAATGGTAAATTTAAAACCCCTTTTTTTATGTATAAATTTCTTCATCCTACGCTTGTGGTGCGGTACATAATTTTAATCACATATTCCGTAAAGAATTCGAGAGAGGACTGGTGTAGCCACTTCCTTAATAATATTAAGTATATAAAATATATACGTATATAGACATTATAAGCTTTAAATTATGCATGGTTATGTTAAAATAGAATACCGTGTCAAACTAATAGTACATCTACTAGTATTGTAGGTTATTTTATTTAAACGTGAACTCTTATGGACAAACGGGCAGGAGGCTCACCTGATGTTGAGTGATACCGCCGCCCATGTATTCAATGCTACAGGGTTCGCGAGTGCGTTGCCGGCCTTTTAAGAATTGGTACGCTCTTTTCTTGAAAGATCCTAAGTCGAATTTTGTCGTAAATACTTCAGTGGGCAGCTGGTTCCACATAGTGCGCGGTAAAAACTGCCTTAAAAAGCGACTGTGGAACGACGGACGTCGAGGTGATACGGATGGAATTTCGTATTCTGCCTCAACGTCAATTCTTTTGATTAAAACATGACGTATTACGCAGGGATACCTGTAGTAGGTTGTGAAGAGAGATTCACGCTACTAAGAGTACAACTATTTATGAGAACAGGGGAATAACAATGGGCGGGTTATATAAACCGCTGCCTGTAACATTAGCAAGGCATTTAAGGATATCATACACGAAGAGTGTATTACTCCTATTTAAGAGAAAAGTGTACCACATCCTTAGTTATCCTCGCAATTGACTTGGTTTTAATGGAACAATATTTAATCAAAACTTACTTCTTGTCAACGGATGTGGACCTGGAGAGAACTGGTGGCGACATAATCGGACTGCTTTGTTCCGATATTGGATGATCATTCTTTTGACTATTCCATCGTTTAATGCTGAACAAGCCCGGCTTTTTCTTTAATTTTTCCGACATAACTTCTTGAATACTAATTGCGAAATGATATTTCTTTCTTATCAGGCGGTATCGTCTGGCAGCGATTTTTCGATTAAAATCGATTAGATAAGATACTGTAGGGTATTATTATGTTTCTATTTTGTTTATTGTTACTGCAATCTTTTTATATTAAAAGCATAGAAAGTATTCTTTGAAATGATTCTTTATTAAAAAATCCAGAACTGAACGCTTTATTCAATTTAATAAATGTTTTTAAAAGTTTCTCAAGAGAGGTATTTATTTATTTGGATATAAAATTATATATTTGTATATTTCATTATTATTATAACAAAAAACAATAACTAACCTTAAAATATAATAACTAACATATATTATTAAAATATTATATTGCCCTTTAGGCAAGGTTCCGAAGTTTCTGGCAGCGTTCCCCCTTTAAATAATATGAATTGAATTATTATCAATTAGTTATCATTATTTTGTATACTACTATAATATACAAAGGACTTAATTGAATATTAATTTTCTTTCGATAAATTAACATATTCACTCGTTAAGTCAAATATTTTTTTAACTTAAATTATACAGATTAATTACAAGTAAGATAACTAGGGAGCTGGCGAGCATTTTTTTTTAGTTCCGACCGATACGACTAAAGGTGCGCTTACACGGGCAACTAAAATTGCTCAATTCCAGTCAATACTCGTCAACTATGACGTCATGACTACATCAAGCAATTTACGGCAACGGCAACAAGCATCAATACAATATCGAGCGATATGGCGCAACTTCACCAACTAGACAATACAGTCCTACACGAGCATTTCAGTATTCGCTCGCTATGGATGACATTGTTCTTGCTGCGGCAGCTTGTAGCGCTTTTTTTATTATTAATCAAAAACAAAAAAGAAAGAAAAGAATAGGCGTATCTGGGTGCGATCGTTTTCGGCAAAGAGGCCGCATTTTCATTGTGTAAAGAATTAGATGATATATTATTCAAAAACTGTACTAGAATGTCACGAACAGACTTTGAATTACTTTTGAATAAAGTAATTAGAAATTATTATTATTTAACCTCTCGCTCTCCCCACGGAAGCAAGACGGCAAGCCGCAAAACAAACAAGTGCGAATGAGATTTATACAAAAATTGCTAGGAATTTCCAAGTCCATTGGATATTCGTCAATTCGTATCTGCACATTGAGCGATATGAAATATCTGGAGCAATTAGAGCAATATCGCCGAAATAATTTATTGAATTTATTGAAATTGCTCCATTAATTGCTCCAGATCGGTCCATTCGTGTCGCCGAGCAATTATTGCCCTCGTGTAAGCGCACCTTAAATTTTCTAAATGAATTAAGGTCGTACGTTGCTGCGTTTCTAAGCTACAGGGGTCTAAACTGTAAAATCGGTACTAAATCATTTGCTCGAGTCTGCCTGGGGTAAAAAAGTCTGCCACATGAGCATATCATATAGATATAAATAAAAAAAATATATATGATTTCAGAGATAAATGCGTCACAAGCCAGTTAATTTTGTTATTGAAGAGCTGGGAACCCTGTCACAGGTGTTTTCTACATCAAAGGGTTCCCAAATCTTACAATCTTTAATGCATTGCGATAATAAATAACTAAACACATTTTTATTTCTTTACTAGCGGACCCGACAGACGTTGTCCTGCATGATATTTAAAGCGATTAGGATATTAAACAAAGTATGAAAGTACCGACTGCAGCGTCCGCCGCCCCTTTTTGGGTATATATATATATATGTAAGCTATCCTATCTTTTAAGTTAGATCAAACTGCACACGGTGTGCAAATTTGATTAAAATCGGTTAAGCAGTTTAGTTCCTCCATAGCGGACAAACAACGTGACGCGTAATTTATATAAGTATATTAGATTTCAAAAACATTCCATTTTTTATTACGAAGTTTCACAAGCTCACATATGTTTTTTTATTTACGTAAAATTTAGGCTTTTAATGTAGAGGGAAAGTGTGCATGTTTTGAGGTTATCATTCACGAAACGTCATAACGGTTCACAAAAATAAAAGTATAAATCTTATACATTTGTAAATGGGCAACGGTTCGAGACGCGTGTGTAACTTACGAATTACAATGGTCGCAATCGCATCGGAAGTGTACAGCACTTACAACTGTATGCCATCTCCTACAGAATGTTACCTCTAGGACTAAAATACAATACAAACTAGAACAAAAATATAATAAGGGGCCTCATAGCCTAGCGGTCTTATTAAGTGGCAGCTAGGTGAGGGGTATCGGGTTCGATTCCCGGTTCGAGGGAAGTTTTAAAAGTTAAGTTAAGTTTTTATTTAAATTAAATTTGTTCTCGGCCTTTGGGAGGGTTGTGCGGTACCGGGCGAGTGCTTAAACCGTACATGGAGGACACGGTCGAATTTCTAAAAGACAAAGCACGAATTATAAAAAATTCTTTACTTGACGCTGGCTAATGTACAAATCGTGCCAGAACCATTAAAAAAAATATATATATATTCTTAACCTCGTACATAATAATTAAAAATGGAAACGAGTAAATATTATATATATTCTTAATAACATAAATAATCCATTTATATAATAATAAAATAATATACATTGAAATAAATAACTAAACTTAACATAAACTAAAATATATCATTAAAAGGAGTCCTTAGAAGGTTCCAAAGATACTAACAGCGTTCCCCCTTGAATTTCTAACAGACTAATTCTTTATACGAGTACTGCCAGATCTTCGTCTCCTGTGATGTCGACTAACCTTTTGAAATTTCTTAAGAATTAAAGCGCTAGGACCCCACGGACAAAGGGTCTACACCGAATTGGGACAAAATCATATCCTGAGCCTAGCCCCTTTACTTGCATGCTTTTTTTTCTCAGCCGCTTCACAAGTCGCACCAGCTCTGTAGTTGGTTCCATGTAGATGGGAAGGTGCCAGCGTGTCTGTACAGGTTGCATCCCATACCAGTACCCGGCCCATCTTCCATGGAATCAAACTCATACCGTCCGGTCTCTTGCCATCGTCTCTTGCAATACCACTCGGCTCAAGTAGACTTGGCACTTTACTGCAAAGGGAACAAGTCGTTTGATATCATTAAGTGCCCGGCATGTCTCGAGAAGCGGCCTGCCTTTTTGGCATGACAGGCCGTGATGTCCTAAACTTGTCGACATCACTGCCACAGTAACAGGAAATTATGAGGTGTGCAGACCGGAACCCAAGCTAGACAGTTGCGATTCGAAGCGTGTCAGGCTCAAGAAAAGTTCCTGTATTAGACGAAGGGTAAGCGTGAAGCCAGTTGCCTGGCCTCTTGCGTGACCGCACGGCCAAATAAGCCTAGCACGCGCCGAACCTGTACTACAACTCAAAAGATCGTAAGTTCGATCCTCGGCTGTGCACCAATGGACTTTCTTTCTATGTGCGCATTTAACATTCGCTCGAACGGTGAAGGAAAACATCGTGAGGAAACCGGCTTGCCTTAGACCCAAAAAGTCGACGGCGTGTGCCAGGCACAGAAGGCTGATCACCTACTTGCCTATTAGTTGACGAATGATCACGAAACAGATACAGAAATTTGAGGCCCAGACCTAAAAAGGTTGTAGCGCCAATGATTTAGTTTTATTTTATTTTATCTTGATTCTCCAAGTGTGCATCACTGTATTACATATTACTGAGGTTATTGTATTACAAACCTCTCGAAAACGGCACACATGACACAATGTATGAAAATAATTAACGAACTGTCAAAGGTCTGCTTTATGTCAGTATATATATTGTATGAAATAATTAGTCTTTTTGTAAATATTTTAATCTATTACTGTGTGATGTTTGGTTGTTTTTAGAGCAGTGTTGGCCCTAGTGGGTTCAGCGTGCGACTCTCATCCCCGATGTCGTAGGTTCGATCCCCGGCTGTGCATCAATGGAATTTCTTTCTGCGAATTTGACTTTTACTCGAACGTGAAGGAAAAAGTGAGGAAACCGGCTTGTCTTAGACCCAAAAAGTCGACGTGTGTTAGGCATAGGAAGCTGATCTCCTACTAGCCTGTTAACAAATGATCATGTAACAGGTAAAGAAATCTAAGGCCCAGACCTAAAAAGGTTGTAGCGCCACTGATTTATTTTATTATTTTATTTATTGTGTTGTATGTGATAAATGTAAATGGTTACCGCATTGCAGTAATCTGTCGTCTGTCAAATAAAAATAATATGCGTGACACGAAATACTTCCTAATTTTTTTTTATTTTCCGTCCCACCCGTGGTGTGAACCCAGAGGCATTTACACTGCGACTAATCACGTCCCACACATCACAAGTATATCTGTGTTCTAGATTTATGTCAATTAGTTTAACGATCGAGAAACGCAGGAAACGCAGTATAAGGGATAAATTTACTGTCTGAAGGTAAGTAGATTTACTGTCAACTTAATGTACTCATATAGATGTCGCAGCCAACTAGCTTAATTAGCCGTTCAATTAACAGCCTAGCCGTTTAACTAGCGGCCTGAAAGATGTTCAGCCAGTTGATCAAACAGCTAGGCAAATGACTTGGATCGATGACAATTCATAACTCGCCTAGCCTGTTGACTGTTAATTTAAATAGTATTGTCTTTGATTAACATAACCTTTACACATTTAAAGAAAACACTTTTTAACCGGATTAAAGTTATGTATTATTATAAATTTACAATTATTTAACATAATTTTAAATTTATCCGACGTTTGAATTTTAAAATTATGTTAAATAATTGTAAATTTATAATAATACATAACTTTAATCCGGTTAAAAAGTTTTTTCTTTAAATGTTAATTTAAATTTAATTCGACTTTCTGCCACTCTCAAACTCAAAAAGAAACTCTTCAAACTTTCAATACTGTTGGTGTTTTCCAAAGTTTCATGAAAAACAACAAGTACAACGGAAGAGTGTAGTGACAATAATAATGAGTATTTGAATCAAGCAATTTTATTTCAATAGAAATATTTTTTATGTCATTTGTTTCATCTTTTTT